AAAGTCACAGCTTTGTACACGGGTCTTTATGATCTGCTTCCTTTGTCTAGAGGATGTTATTCTGCTTCTCATTCTCACAGTAATTTTAAATGAGCTTTGACCTCAATGCTTCTTTATAGATCATTTCCAGTTTCACTGAACTTTCAGAAGATATGGCTCACAGAGCTTTGCTTTCATTTTTTTTTCAATATAATCCTTCAAAATATGGCACTTGCTTTCTGATATTTTCTTTTCTTTGTTAAATTCTTTTATTCTCTCACTTTTACCTCAACCTCCTCTTTCAAATTTTCTCTCTACTATCCGTATCCTTCTCAATATTGATTCCACTCCTAGCAGCCCCTCAGCACTGTAGAGCACCAACCAAAAGGGGAGGTAATTTCAAAAGCTCCCAGGGCAGCAGACTGTCCATCTTGTTTATATGCATCTGGGAACCTCTGCACTCATCTATTGATGGAATGGCCAAAGCCCCTTCAGAGTCTGCTGCTCTTCTCAAACTATACCACTGTCCTTCCACTGAATCCCTATTGTCTTTTTGGCAGCTTTCTTGGTTTGGGACCCTTTAGATTCCCATTGTTTTGTTCTGCTTTTCTCCTGCATGGATGCTGATGCCTTCCAGTTGTTATAGCTGTGGATGGTTGTTTCCATCTGCCTTTATGTTCAGATTCTCAGGAATAACACTCCCTTATTTTTGTGTAAATTTTGTTCATGGTTTGAATTTTGCTCTCCAACTTCTCTTGGCTTCTGGATCATCCTGTTCTCCTTGATTTTCTCCTACTTTTCTGACCTCCATCCTTCTCCTTCTCCTTTGTGCATGCCATTTCCATGTCCATGCCTCAAATAATGGTTGCTCTTCCACAATTTGTCATAAGCCCCATTCTTGTCTCACTCTGCACACTCTACTTGTGAATCCTTCCTACTTCCAGTCATCCCACCTGTAGCTTCTGAAGTCAATATAAATAAAAGTTGCATAGAACTTGCTGTAAATACACAGAATATAGATGTTAGGGAACTGTTTGAGATACAAACTGAGACACTGAGGAGGTCATCAGGTTCTTAATATTTTAACTTTACCATTATGATAAGGTTTTAGAAGTATTGAGAATACAGTATTCTTGATTACTTCACCTCTAATCAAAAGAACTCATAAGCATGAGGAAATTCGATATTTTTACATAGAGGAGAGTACTGCTATGAAGCTACTGAAGGAAAAATTTAAGATTCCTCTTAAATGGAGAGAAGTTAATGTAAATGCCAGTTTTTCCCCAGTGGATAAACAAAAGATTGTACATGATTCTAAATATATATGAATTAAGATTTTTCATAGGGAACAGTATTTTGGTGCAATAAAAATGGAAAAATACAATGGATGATTGTTAGTTTGACTTATCATATGATAAATTGTTACTGTATTTTCCTTAGAGTTTTGCCTAATCAATATCTGCTAAATAATTTTAAGGTTATATACAAAATAATTTATTTTCTAAATAATTAAAAGATAATGCTTTAACTAAAACATTAAATGATTTAATAATGAGTAGAAACCAACTGTCTGGGAAATTTTTAAATAATTCTATAACATCCCTATATCCCTTACCTGAGAAAAGAAATTCACTTAGGAGTAATATTTTTCCAGTGGTCAGAGGCAGCCACTGAAATGAAGGGACTATGTTTAGTCAAATGGAAAGATTACCAAGAAAGAACTTGGAAAATTGTAATATAATAATTTTGCCAAAGCTTTTCAACTATTTGTATATTGATTTAGGTGATTAGTTTAATTTGGGTTAGATAATACTAATTTCCAGAACAAATATTGTTATTTGGGTTAGCAAAGATAAGCCTAATTGCTGATATTGTGATAAAGTTCTTTGAATGTTTTATTGCTATCTAGTAAAACAAGCAAAGCATGGTCTGCATTAAATAAAGAGCTTCTTTTATCCTCCTGAACCAAGTATCATATTAAAAACATAGTACTTGGGGTTGGGGATGTGGCTCAAGCGGTAGCGCGCTCGCCTGGCATGCGTGGGGCACTGGGTTCGATCCTCAGCACCACATAAAAATAAAATAAAGATGTTGTGTCCACCAAAAACTAAAAAATAAATATTTTAAAAATTCTCTCTCTCTCTAAAAAAGAAGCCACATAGTACTTATTATATTCACAATGATAAGTATATTTGTATACTTATCATTGTCTGAGAAGTTAAATGATTACAAAGAGGTCAGGTTCACAGCAGCAAAGAGCTGGCAAACTGAAAAGGGAAAATTTAAAAAAATAAAAGAACTTACTTACAAAAAGATGAACAGAATTCATAAAAATCAGCATGGACTGATAAAGCATCCTTGGGTTAGCAACAGTGGGAAGCCATTAACACCACTAGGCAAAAAAGAAGATGGGAGAGGAAGCAATATCTAGAACAGGGAAGTGCTGCCAGACCCTGGAAAGAGTGCTGGAGCGGATGGAATGAGAGGCTGGCCAAACATAAGGAATGCAGCCAATTCCAAACCATAGCCAAAAGGGAGGTGGCAGGGAATAAATCCTCTAACCACTCTCACCCAGCCTCTGATCTCCTACTGGTATCTTCTGCTGTCTGAAACCTACCTAAAGCAAAAGGGCCTGATTAATGTCCACCAACATCAGCTGCCAGGAACACAGACACAGGATCCAGCACAGATAACATGGCAATTTTAAATGATTCATTGCTACTAATTTTTATGGTAACTAACTGAAAACTTGGCAATGGGAGAATATACTACTCAATAAAGGAGTAGACAGTACTAACCGTACTCTTGAAAAATGCTAAGAAGGTAGCTTTTAAGTGCTTTAATCACAAAAAAATAATAATTATGTGAGGTAATACTTGTTAATTAGCTCTAGCTATTTATGACATATACATAGTTCAGAACAACACGTTGTACATGATAAGTACATATAATTTCATTTATTGATTTTTTAAAAAATTGTTTTTTCAAAATTGTCCCATTAAACCAAAGTCAATTGCTAACGAGGGAGGGAGACAAGGATTGCCTCACAAAGCATAATCCATAACTTATGATATATGCTGGCCATACAGTTGAAGGGATTCTGAGGAGTCCACTTGTTTCTGTGTGTCCTAAGTAGGCAATTAACTTGCATCCACAAAAAGTATTTGAAAATTTAAATAGAGCTAATAGCACTTTAAAAGTTGTAATTAATACATATATTCCTGCCTTAGTATCACTGTTTAGCTAAATATTCATCTCACTTTTTATAAAAGTACAATAATCATATGGCTAACCAATACCAACTTAAAAACAAATTTATAATTCTCCTCAAATCAAGTTAGCATCCTCCATTTTAGAGACCTTTAAAGTTCTGACTGATGAAACACAAAGTATTAATTTCTCCCCTCCAAATAACAATATTTTTAGTTTCTTGCTCTCATGAAAAACTGTAACAGTTAAAAAAAAAAAAAAAACACTGAAACATTTCTCAATGATACTAGGCTTAAGTGTAGTAATGTTCCACCCATGCTACAAAGATGATTTTTTTTCTATCGAGTTGATTATTGTGTACATTTCACTTTTTTTATTTAAACATTCAAAAATTTGAATTCAGACATTGTTTAGAAGCATTTCTTTTGCCCTTCATTTCAGTGTCTCAGATGCAAGGCATAAAACTGACTTTCAAGACTTTAAAATATTATCTATATAAAATATTTAAAAGTTGTTGATGAATCCAAGGGTTGTGTTGGAAATCCCACCTACATTTATTTTTAAAAGACAATTTCAGGAAGAACAAATCACTTGTCCAAGGTCCCACAACTTGTTCGGGGTACAGGTACTAGAATTAGATGTTTCTGTTCCCTTAAAATTATTTTCATATCTACCAAATGAATGTGTTTTGAAGGATAAGAACTTTTAAAATCTGTAGTCCACGTTTAAGTGAAACTCCACCCATCCGAATTGGGGAGTCCAAAAATTTCAATGCGCAAAATTACCTTATTCCAGATTAGAAATGTGGAGAGTTGGTTACAGGGTTCTTTCCAGACTTGATGAGCTTTGGCGCCACATAGTGGCGTTTGTTCTCTCTGCCATTAATTGGGAGGTGGCGGTTCTGCATCACTTCCAGGACAGCCGAATCCCCTTACTACCCATTTAATCTGCTGGGTTGGGGAAGATTGGCTGGGAATAGATAGGGTTTGAGGAACTCACTGGCCACCTCCTAGCTTCACACGACCTACCCTAGCCCGTGATTTTCCCGCCCATCCGGGTTTTCTTCGCTCTGGACGAGAACTGTATCCTGCACCACACTCCCTTTAGCGGGAGTGGATGGGATGCTGGGCAGAAGAGTGTAACCCATTAAGTCCAGTTTCGCACTTTTTTCCCCCTTGCATTTTTACTATGGGTATTAATCGCGATTATCAACTGTATAACACAGAGACAGGAATATACCGGCACAACTACCAGCGATTAGTAGGGGTGAGGGTAAGGGGGGCGGGGGGGGGGGCAGGTGTTTCAAGGACCCAAATACCCAAAATAATATCAAATGCACTAGGTTGGTGTTGCCACTTGTCCTGGAAACATACTGTCTTCTGCTCCTTTAACAAAGATTGACAAAGGAAAGCGAAATGGTGTATGTTCTGAGTTAAAACTCTGCTCAGCCTTCCTTTCTCAAAGTAACTTTGGAACGGGACTGGCCAGGAGAAGGCAGAAAGGCCGAGATGTAGAAATTCAAGAGTCCCCTGCGTGCGTACGTGCACGGGCGAGTTTCTGCGCTGGGTGACTCGAGAGGCCAAGTTCCGCCAGGACAGGGCACTGCAGGGCAGGCAGGACCTGCGACTCACCTCAGCAGGTGTTCTGCGCGGCTACCCTGCGGCCGCCGAGCCTGACGTTTCGCGGTCCACCGCCAGGGGGCGAACACCCCACGACGCGTCAGATGGCCGAGGGACCTAGGGACGCGAAGGCGGCGGACTCTGCCGCGCCGCTGCCCTTACCTCCAGGTAGTACAAGTCCACGGCCCTTACCTCCAGGTAGTACAAGTCCACGGTTGTGATCTGCGAGTCGAGGAAATCTTCGTAAGTGTTGAACTGAGTGACAATATTGTCCAGGGCCATCAACGCCTCGTCCTGATCCATCGCGGTTGCCTTGGCCAAAGCGTCCCTAGCGACAGAATCTCGAGGGCAGGATCAGGAAGTTCCACCCACTTGGCTCCATCCAATCAGTTGGAGGGGGGTTGAGCTCTGAACGTTAATCCCGCCCCCATGTTTTACTACTGGGTTTCAGGTTCCCGCCTAACTCTTGGGAACTATGTTAAATTACCCACTCCAAATTCAGGGGCGGTATCAGTCCACTGACTCACACCTTGGGGAAATGTGGCACAAGGGGAGAGATGCAAATGACAAGCCAAGTTAAAGAGTATGACGCTGCCAGAATGTTTAGACAAAACGTTATGAATAAGTTCTTCCAATCATATTCTAAAACCACCTTAAGCAGTACAAAAATATAAAAGTATTTTTCAAGGAGAAAGAGTATCTCAAAAGTCTAGGAAAATGGTCTTGTGACCAAGGCCACATTAATGACCTTTTTGAATTATTTTTTTTAAAATTGTAACTCAAATCTCAGTTATCAATATCGAGTGCAAAGAACCATTTACGAATTTACCAAAACAAACGAAGGAATCTCAGCAATAATATCTTTGAGCCCCAAGTTATTACATTTTAATTTTTTTACTATGTATTTCAATAAGCACACAATGAAAAACCTTGCTCTGCAGAACCAGTCTTTTTTTAATGAATACCTGTGGAAACTTAAAAGGTGAAGGGTTTTACTCAAGATTTTCTTTTTACTTTAGAATAAAATTTTTCATTTTTTAAATATAAATGTAAAGGAATCCAACAAGCAGCTGTCAAAACTTTTTCAGAACTTATTACGGTTTTTAATGTTTTTCAAATCATCTTTGAGAATTTAACACAGTTTTCTTTCTAAATATTTATGTAATTGATTTAGAAAATTTTCACAGATGTGCTAAAAAATATTTTAATAAAAAATCTCAGAAGGTTAATTTCACTTTTGGTAAGCTTATATAATTTTAAAAGTTCATCTCAAATATCAGGATGTCTATGAAAGTGTAAATTTTACGTAATACAGAGACAAGGATCTCTATAATATTACTAACCTTTAGTTAATAATTGTATCCTAACATGTTTTAAAAGGCATTTGGTACCTTATTTTTTAAGCGTATTTTAATCATTAAATTTGGAGAAAGAGAAACATCACATATAACACAACAGCTGTAATAAAAATAGTAACAACAATATTTGTTGAGTGCTCACTGCATGCCAGGCTCACTGCATGATGGGCACTAAGTGTCAAAAATCATTGTACTTAGCTGGTATTTACATTAAAAGTAATAACCACCAACAATTTGATAGCATCTCATATCTGAAAAGATAAGTAATTTGAAAAGCCAAGAATGGAGATGAAATCCATGTTCCTTAAAAGATTCTAATAGGTGACAAAGTTTTCATTATTCTCTATTATCTAGAGGGTTCTGTAAGTCCTTCCTAAAAGATTCATATTCTGAGTGAACTGAGCACATGGAAAAGCTTTAGAAAGATTCAGCCACTTATGTACGGAGAATATAAATATTTCCTTTAGTCCAAAAATATTTTACACAACCTTATCAATGTTGCAGCCGTGTTTTAAACATTTTATATGCATTATCTCATTTAATCTTCATGATACACTCACTGGGGATATAACACTAGTATTTTTCTCAAAATAGAAGCAGAATGAATTTAAATGACTTAGCTAAAGTCATTAAAGTTCCAAAGACAAAACACACACACACACACACACAATCCATTATTTCCAGTCTCACAAAAAGAAAAGGCAGAGGTAAAGAGAGGTTTTGAAGAGCCCCATAGAACTAATTACAGAAGCAGGGTTTTTTGGGGAGTGGGGGTGGGGGTGGGGGTGGGGGTGGGGGTCGGGGTGGGAGTGGGGCCAGGATACTGAGGATTGAACTCAGGGTCACTCAACCATTGAACCACATCCCCAGTCCCATTTTTTTGTATTTTATTTAAAGACAAGGTCTCACTGAGTTGCTTAGCACCTCACCATTGCTGAGGCTGTCTTTGAACTTGCGATCCTCCTTCTTTAGCCTCCAGAGCCACTGGGATTACATGTGTTCACCACCACACCCAGCCTGTTTATTTCTTACATAAAAAGACAAGTTGCCTTGTGACAGGGATGATGGATTGGTTCGAACATAAAGAACAAAAGGAATGGCATGTTTGGAGTTGGGCAGATAAGAAAGATCAGATTCTATAAAGGACAAAGCAGTCAATGGTCTTCACAGTTGTGTGAGGCCAGCAAGGACAGCAGAGGGAAGGAAGCCCACTAGAAAGAGGGGGAACAGGAAGCAAAACTTTGAGTGGTAGGTTGAAGAGATACAAAATGCAGCAGCTATGTCCTTGAGCAAGAGAGGAAAATGGCTTCGGTTGCTGAGTGCATACTACTGAATAGAGCTCAAGCCTCCTGTTTTGAAGTCCTCCTACATCAAGATTTCATCACTTTCAAGACACAGCAAAGCATCTAGGGAATGTTTGAGTTCAGAAATCTGTAGCACTTTGATTCCAAGATCATATCTCTATATTAATAAAATGTAAGGTCACTATTTATCTATACATCCTTCTAGTAAGATCCATCCATCTAATATGATCCATTTTGATCGTGCATTTTCTGGGAAATCTAATTAAATTAACCAGATGTTCAATAGCTCTTTGTTGGAGTAATCCCTAAAGCATCTACATTTAAACAATTATAAAAATATTTTCAGTCAATGAGTCCAATGACATCTTCCAGCAAATCATCTTCATAACATTGAAAGAAAAATATTTATAAATTTAGCCTTGTTCTACACAGAAAGGCTAGAATTATAGAAAGTCTAACTCAATTGTCTTTTTTCTAAACTTTTGATTTAAGTTCAAAAACACTTTCAGACCTGTGCCTAAGAAATTACATGGAAGAGTGACAACAAAGAAATTAATGAGCCACAACAATTCTCTCTTTCCTATTCTGAGGCCTTTGTTATGATCAGAAAATACTTTATTTTGGATAGCATGCATTCCTACTTCAAGATCTTAAAAATATTGAATCCTGGAATTTAACACCAATCCCAGATATTCCAATCTTTGCCAAGAGACAAGCAAAGATCATGTATATTCACAACAAAACCCCAAGATGTAAGAGAGAGAAAACATATGCTATGGAAGGAATAACAAAATATATGCCATATTTAGCTTAGTTACTGAGTTTTTTTAAAAGACACAATGTAAAAATAAAGATCATAGGCAAAACAAAGCACAAGTATCTCTTTGAAATAAACAGGCTTTGGTAAATACTTACCTGGTGGAAAGGCATAAAATAATTTCAAATTAAGCTCTGTATTTCTATTCCTAAGTATTTAGCAATATCATATGATAGTTGAGAAAGTGACAAAAAACATACATTAATATGTTGACATGATATGAAGGAGAATGCCTTGCTTATTATGGAAATAAGATGCTAAACCTTCTGAGTAAGAACTTGAGGCTCTATTACCATGGACTTACTACATTACCATATTATAGGAAAGAAAAACATATGCTCACTGCAGTAAGATAAGAGATTCATGTCTAATGTTACCCAACTGCTTATGAAGTGTCTATGATTGCAGAGGGCTATTGCTTAATCCTGAGTCAAGGAGAGATCCTTAGCACTTTGTAATAATGATGACACTGAATTTACTTAAGCTCTTTCTTGTGATGAGATCACTGGGCTTCTACACAGTCTCAGTTATCCTAATATGCTGGAGTTCTGGTTCCACTGCTTCTCACTGATGAAGACACAGTGCATTCAAATGTCATAATTCATAAATTTTCTCCTTCCTTGATTTAGTGAAAGGAAGAGACCAGAAGAAATACAATTTAAGATGGAATTGCACCAAGGAGTGAAGTTGACAGGTGTCAGCAGCTGAAGAAGAAGAAGAAGAAGAAGAAGAAGAAGAAGAAGAAGAAGAAGAAGAAGAAGAAGAAGAAGAAGAAGAGTAGTAGTAATGAACGAATACTGTGTTATGGGCAGATGATGGGTATGATTGCCACAACCCAGTCTTTGTAACAGAGAAAATTTCAGTGGTTCTGTGAGGCACTCCTAACAACCTTACTAAAAAATTTCCTCAACTTCTTTGTGTACCTGGAAATCAGACTGGACCCTAAAACACCACTCCCCCGAGTGGCCGAACACTTAGAAAACATCACAAGTGAATAGATAGTCACCATGATTAACACAGAGCTGCCAATGTCCAGAGGATGCTCAACACTTCCTACAATCTATGCCTTTTCTCTTATTTTTTACAGTAGATTCTCTTCTCTCTTTGATCTTATACTCTCCTGTCTCAAAGCAGATAAACTTTACTCCTACTCCAAAATAAAGCAAAAGTTACCAGAGTGAATTTACTGCTCTCCAACATATAAGCTTACTCACTCCCTGTCCTACCAACATTTTTCTTCTCCCTTTATGTTCAAAGGAATAATTTATGTCCTCCTATACCTTCACTCTACACTGGTTCTATCTCCTCCTTCCTTCTCAGAATTCCTCATTTTGATTATCTTCTCTCTCCCATGTTGTTATTCATCTCCTCTCTGCCCCAAACCACCCCGCACCCCTGTTTCTCTCCCCTAGCTCCTTTCCTGTTTAAATAAATAAATAAATAAGCAAGCAAGCTAATGAATCCAAGAACAACTATAGGCTATAGGCTCCCCAGCACTTCACAACAAAGCTTCTAAAAAGAGTTATCTATGATCACCATCTTCACTTCCTGCTCAACTCATTCCTACTGGTTCCATACACTGTGCCACTGAAATCACTTTTGCCAAAATCAATTTTGACGTCTTTGCCATAACAGCTTAGCCATTTTTCTGTCCACATAATACTTGACACTCAACAGCTTTTGACCCAAGTGACTACTCTCTTCAAAAGTCTCTCTGACTTGCATCGCATTATTTTCCCTGAGGTTGGTTGGTATTCCATTAACTGTTTCTTCTTGGTTTTCTTTCTGGATTCTCTTCCCCTTACCATGCTTTTCAAAAGTTGGAGAATCTCAGTGTTCTTTCCTAG